GAGAGACAGACAGCGAGAAGTCACACCACAGGAAGAATGGTAACGCTGCAATCCCTTCTCCTCCATTCTCCTCTCGGGATCTTGGGCATGCACGCACACGCGCCCGGCGTGAGTTTTAAGCCACCAGGTCTGGGACGCGAACCGCAGTCGACTACGTGGGAGTCCAGCGACATAGACATTACGCTAACTGCTGGTTCCCGCAAAAGCTTTTTTTAAAATTTGTTCTGGAGCATGTGCAGTCACTGGAGAGAGATGGCGTGTGTGGTGGTGGTGGTGGTGGTGGGGGAAGTGAGAAAGCACTCCTCAAGGGAGATGGCCATGCCACAATCCCTTTGTCTCCATTCTCTTGTCAGGAGTTTGGGCACACGCACACGTTTTTGAACTGCCAGCTCTGGGACTCAAACTGCACTGTAGGACCCAGCCACCTTAACCACCAGGCCACTGGCTGGCTGGCATTTTCTTTTTTTTTTTTTTTTTTTCTTTTCTTTTTAATTTTTAGAGAGATATTTTGCTATAGGGCATGTGAGCTCTCTGGACAGAGAGACAGAAAGCAAGAAACTCCCCCCCTCCAGGGGGGAGTGGCCACACTGTAATCCCTTTTCCTCCATTCTCGTCTCAGAATTTTGGGCCTACATGCACACGCACCTGGCATGAATTTTAAGCCATTGTGTCTGGGACTTGAACCACGGTCGACTCTGTGAGAATCCAGGGACGTAACCATTATGCCATTTTCTGGTCTGGCATTTTCTTTTTAAAAAGAGTTTATTATTATTTTTTTTTCTTCTAAGAGAGACAAAGAGGCATTCCCGACAAGATTCGCACCAGCAATCTGAGCCCACCCCCAGTCTCAGTGTACTGTGCCCAGGGAGGTCTCTGGACTTGAACCAGAACCTTTCCTGTGTGGGTTCAGTTATATTACCATTGCACCACCTGGCCCTAAAGTAGCTCTTCAGTGCTCTCTGTCAGCCTACTGGAGCTGAGCAGGGCACCAAGTCCTCTGAAGCAGCTGCAGCCAGGGTCACCTGACACCCACTGGTGCTTGTGGAGGAGCAGTTGGTGGCAGGGGACCAAGGTCTACTCATGGCCCCTGACTCTGGCCTTGCCGATGGCTTGGTGAGCACCTTATTTCCTGAGTTAAAGCTCTTTCTTCCTGAACTGTCTAGAGAGATTGTTCTTCCTCTATCCAACCCTGCCTGAAGCCAGTGACTCAAAGTGGAAAAAGGCTGCAGGAATGAGCAGCCTCAGGGAGCAAAAGAGGGATGTGCCTCACTCCAGCCTTCTCTCTTTCTGTACCCAGTGTGCTCAGGTTGGTCTCCAGACCTGAACCTGGAACCTCCCTA